GATGGCCTCCAACCTACTGGCGATGGGCTCCAACCCACAAGCGATGGGCTCCAACCTACTGGCATGGGCCCCAACCTAACCTACTGGCGATGGGCTCCAACCTACTAGTGATGGGCTCCAACCTATATACTAGCGATGGGCTCCAACTTACTGGCGATGGCCTCCAACCTACTGGCGATGGGCTCCAACCTGCTAGCAATGGCCTCCAACCTTCTAGCGATGGACTCCAACCTACTAGCGATGGGCTCCAACCTGCTAGCAATGGCCTCCAACCTTGTAGCGATGGACTCCAACCTACAAGCGATGGGCTCCAACATACTAGCAATGGGCTCCAACCTACTGGCGATGGGCTCCAACCCACTAGCGATGGCCTCCAACCTACTAGCGATGGGCTCCAACCCACAAGCGATGGCCTTCAACCTACCAATAAAATAAATGAAACTGAGTGGGGAAAGAACAGTATCGGTATTCAACTCTTCCGTGGTAGTGTCCGGGAGCGGACGTTGGAACTAGTTGGTCTGAGATTTCAGGGAACGTGTAAATCGGTCCGAAACTTCAACATCGCAAGCCATAGAGTTAATGATATGTATAAATGGGAAACACATGCAGCATTTGAGCCTGCGTCCTTGCGCGGCTGCCACGCCATCGTGCCCCAATATAGCTTACAGCATAAATACGATCCCGCGCTCTGCTCAGGCTGCGGATGGGACCAAGGACAATGCGCGAAAGAAAACGAAGCGCTCTCAAGGCACGAAGCCTCCTGCGGTTCCGTGCGCAGTGGAAACTCTCTCGTGCTCTGTGGTGCTCGGGCTGACATCCCAGCTCCTGTAAGCCACTCTTCTTGCAGAAAGGGCTCGAAACCTGACTTCGCAGTTGACTGGGACAAACATGCAACTTGAGGCTTAAGGCAAGAGACATTGTATTTTCCGTCCGGCAGTCCTAGCCCCAAACCATCTTTGTAATCGCATCCGGGCACGACAACGATGGCGCAGAACTCTCAATGCAACACACCTGCCCGGTGGGTGTTGCGCGACTGGTTAAACATACTGTAGCTCATGAGGAAGCAAGCAAACTCCACACAAACAGCATAAAATGGGGGTAGGGTATATTACTGTAATGAACTGGTTGGGGATACTACATCTACATACCAGTACATGATCACTATATACCACTACCACATATTGATTGCATCCTAGCCTAAAGCTTCGCCAATACCTTTGCAGCCGCAAACAGGCTTCAAGTCTCTTTTTGGCCTTGGCTTCCACGTCTCGTGTGCAACAATCACAGCCTGACGGATTTTGCGATTGGGTTTCCGGCCTTCTTCTGGTAGACCACTGTCGTCGAAATCTTTGCTTCCAACTTGCCCGTGCGTTCTCGCTGGAGTTGTCGTTCCACTGAGAGCTTGGAGGCAATGTCCAAGAGCTCATCTGCCTCAGTGCAACAGGATTCCCGTCTTCTCAAGATTCTCAAGCTTGGTTTGTGGTTGGCTGTGTTGTGCTGAGAACACCCTTGGGTCTGGCACCTCGCCATCAAGCTCCGGCGGTGCCTGCAAGCATGGCAACAAATGCACAGCTGCCACCCTGCATGTATTTCTCCTCAAAGCGTAGCTAGACTTTACAATAGTCAGCTGAACATGGCAAGCTGCATGGGTTGTCGATTGCATGTCAACATTCATGATGCCATTTCAGCTTGCCTGGGTCTCGCAGGGCTCTAAAGATGGGACTGCCAGCAGCCTGTCCCATTCACGCGGCTGCGGCCTTGTGATCTATATGCAAACGTCGACGTGGTTTCACATCAGGTTCGCACATTTTCAGGTCCACAAAAAGCTAAACTTCTGATACTTTGCCACTTTCCACTTCAGTCAAATACTTAGGAGGTAGCTCTGGAAGCGGCCAGCTACTGGAAGTACTTTGCGCAAAGCCTGGAGACGGTCTGTTCTGCGTTGGGAAATCCAACCATCCAGTGGCCTAAGTGCACCTTGCCTTGTGCACCTGGCGCAGCCGGCACTTTCTGCATCACCAAGTGCACCTTGAATTCTTTAAGCCACATGCTGAACGTGGGATGGCATGACATGGGGAACATTTGCTTTGCATCTTCCTGCCTGCGCCCCACGCATCAAGTAAATACCCTCTGCCCGAGTGCCTGAAGCAATTAGCACTGCCGTGGTGAACTCCAAGACCACAACACTGCAACACGGTGTCCAGCTGAAAGAAATGCAATAGGTGCGGTGCAATATGTGTTTTTTGTGGTGAAGCTTGCGTTAGTCGCGCCAAGCAGTGGGCCTTGAACTTTCAAGGTTGAAATTGTTTTTTTTGGGTGAATTTGCGAGAAAATGCTAGAAGTAAACTTATTCAGCAAGTAGTGCAAGGCAGAGCCAATTGTTCACCACAAGGAGAGCAGTTCAACAGCGGCAGAAAAGATCACGGCACACACACAAAACAATAAGGCCAAAAGATCAAAGCTATGGACAAATCCAATTTGTCTAATTGATATCTCCTTCCCAGAGTCTCTGGGCAAAAAGTATGGCACCAACGCGTTCACAAGCCAAGATCAGCAAAACTAATAGGAAATGGGAAAGATATAAACAACATGATTTACAAAACACTGCAAGAATCACAGTTTTTTCTACAAATCCTTTGCGTCAACCCCTCCAACGAACCCCGACAAACACCGACGAACTCACGGTTTGACGCCCCTGGTCAAGAAACACTATGAGTCGGACAGCCAGAAACGTCACTAAAACTAAACCCATTCTCGGATAGCGCCATTCTTCATGCCCAGGTTTGGGGACAAGTGAAGGGCACCGAAAGTTCTGTCACTACCTTTACCACGCTTGTAGCATCTGGTGAGGTGGTCTTGATACCAACCTATGGGCCTATTTTAAAAACCAAATACCATCAAACACTCAAAACATCTTGACAGTACATGTGAGAAATTCAAAGGGTACAAGAAACCCTTTCTGAAATCCAACTACCCTCCGGATCAACTTTTGAAGAGTTTGCTTGCCACCACTGCAGACGATTGAACGTATTCTTCAAACTCAAAATGTGAGCGAGCACTTTTAGACAAACAGAACACACCTTCGTCTATGCGGTCCTCAATGCAGAACACATGGAATCCCTTTAGCACACACTTCTCGGCAACCTTTGAACCTTAATGTCAAGGCAACATCCTTATTTCCTGCAAACCCACCTCTCACGAAAATATTCAATTGTGCATTGAAACATCATGAAGCATCTGCAAAACGTGGTATCCTCTGCTTGCTCGTTTGCTTGCTTCTCCTGTGTCATCCTTTGTCCATAATTCTGGGTTCACGGCTATCCCTACCGCCAGGAGTGCTTTTCCTGTTCCCAGCATCTTTATATTTATAACTCACCATGCCACCATGCTTAATGGCAAGTCACAACACAACATCAAGAGCAAATTCCGGCCCCCCCCAACAGCACAGTCCAAGCGTGCCCCCGCCAAACAAACGAGAACTCATTCGCGAAACAACATCAGGCATGGTATGACAAGTAGTGTTGATGCGGGATCAATCGTCTCACCCTGAGCCAACAATTGATAGTTTAGCCCTACGCACAATTATTAAGACACAAGATTCTGTTGAATGGTTTATCTTGACGTTTGACCCCAATCTTGCCAATTGAAATCATTGACGTCGCGTTGAGCGTTGGTTGTATTGGCTGTTTTGTACTGGTCCTCTTGGTACGTCTCCATAAGGCCCTGCCGATCTTGCTTTGCTATTTTGCTGCTTCAAACACGCCAGCTTCTGGCGGAATTGTCGTCAAAACGTGCTTTGACACACTTTGGGGAATGAAAATAATCAGAACGCAAAAAGTTTCCAAACCCATCCAGAGTCTGATTGCAAGCCAAGCAGGACTATGTCTCAATCTCATATTGCTTCCAGCGATCCTCGCCACACTATATAAGTCTTTCCTTTTTCTATCCAACACTGGCTCCAAGATCGCAGCAGCCTTCCCCGGTGCTTCTCTCTTTTCATCCTAGTTACACTCTCCGACAATATCCTTTCATCTCCCCTTCCCAATACCAAGCAAACTAATCGATCCTCTTAGCTCCATGCATGAAAGCCCCTCCCCAATACCCGCTCAGACATGTATCACAGGAACTTCACAAAATGATTGTGGCATTTTCTTTTGCAAAGACTCCCTGGCACGCCTGCATTATTCATGCAACAACAGCAGCAGCAACAACAACAACGCTGACTGATGAAGCAATGCAAACGCTCCCAACGCCGCACGCCAGTGCAAAGGAAACTCACACGCGCAGCAAAGAAAGTTATATAAACAAATCAAATTCTTTAAGGCCCGCCCGGCTGTGTTACAAATCGGGCCGAAATTTGCAACGCTGACCTGCAAGGCCCCATGGCAGTGTTACAGATCGGGCAGCATGGATGACGCTGATCCCCCTCCCCGCCCTCTGGGGCTGTAACGAATTGTCATGTAGGTCGTCGCCGCGCATAATAATTCATTACGGGTCAGCGTGGGGGGGCTCAGCGTTACAAATCGAGTGGCATTCTGTAACGGAGGCTTGACAAAAACAATTCTCTACATATATAATTCCTTTGAACGGTTCACCTTCCTTTGGGGGCATCTTTAAAAAAAAACTTCAAACACATATAATGTTATCTTGGCGCGCGGAAGCTGTCAAGCCAAACATTTCTATATATATATGTGTCATCATTCACGTAAAAGCTCCTGGTGTGCACCCAATACAAGCTACTGGTGTCTACAGTGCCTTGCGCGCGCTCCGGAGCGCGCGCAAACTAACAAGAAGCCAACTGTCATTGACCGCCCATGTGCTTACCCAGCAATCATGGGTTTCATTTATTTACAGGTTAAGCCGCGTGAGGCGCAACTGCACTTGCCAGCCCATGCTACCTAAGCCCCGCCTTTGCTTAACTTCACGCGCGCTCTGGAGCGCGCTGCATGCTTGAAAAAGCAAGCGCTTAATAGGTCACTTCACTCGCAGGCCAAAGCTTGTGTGGAGTATTTTGAACCCTACTATCTCCAGGTACTGCCCGCAAAGCCTGCTTTTGGCACACTTCGCGCCGCGCCGAGGCGCCGCAATTAGATTTCATATGATTTCATTGGGCGTTGATTTTTCAATATTTTCTCCATACGGGTGGCTGGCATTGCCAACTGGTTGCTTGATCTCATTGGCTAATGGCTGTGTTCTACATGATAGGTGTCACAATTGCAAGTTGAGAGGTGGGCAGTTCATTGCTTAAATACCACTCTTCGCTAAGTCTAGCAAAGCTCGAATAGAGACCTGCTGGACATTCTCATGTAGAAATCGGAAAACATCTAAGCACGGCCGCACGGCTCATGACGGATTAAATTCAAGTAGCAGGCGTCACTTTTCCGTTCAAACATTTGAAGATTTATCAAAAGGACTGAATGAGAAGCTATGAGCCAAGAACTGGAAAAGCACTCTGGCGTTTATAAAGGGCCCCCACATCATAGCCGCGAGACCCGTAATTCCTTTCTGCTTCACAATGCCCTCACCTCGTGCTAGTGCTGCGCCCAGGAGAGCGGCGGCTAATGTCTCGCTGCCCTCCAAACATCGGAAAGTGGCTTGGAGCTCGCCAGTTGCACTGGAGTCAAGACCTTCAGCAAGCTTGGCTGAAGCTAAACATGGATGTGTCATAAGACCGTCATAAGCTTGACCAGCAGGGAAAACCAAAACCACTTGGTCGGAACTACAAACGAAAACGAGAACGCCACAAAGGCATGGACTGACAAGCTCCACAGCTTCCACTGGCTGCAGGGTCCCAAGAGCAAACTCACCTCCAGCATTCAAAGCTGGGCGGGTACAGTAGCAGTGGTCAAAGGATCTGACTCATCTGACTGCGAGGAGTGAGCGCCTTCCAAAGTACGGCAAAGGCTAGGTACGTCTCCAACTTCGAGTGGTGCAAGCACTACTCGCACCAACCGCCGCAGCTCAAAAGTGGAAGACCTTCACACTCTCAAACAAAAAGACACCACAATCACCAAATGGAATGCAGCTGGAGACTAGCAACTATACTGTGTATACTATATTTTATGTATATGTTTATGCGTTTTATGTGTATATACGTTCATTGTCGAGTAATTTTTTCTTGAGCGCTTGCAACAGCTTCTAGGCTTTTGTGTGGAGCATCTTGCATCATGTGAGTCATATTGTTGCATCGACCAATGCTCCAACATGCTCCAACAATAACTGGCAAGTGTTCAGAGTCATGCTACCTCTTTGGAGAAGTACCGTCTGCCATCAGCTCCCTTGTGGCATGTCTGATTTTCAAGTCTGATGACATCTGTGCAGCTTCCGACCCCCCGGCCCTCTCTTGGAATGAATGTATCTGGGAATATCTGGGAATTTTCTGTCTTATTGATGTCAAGGGTGGGGGAACTTGAGTTGTCAAGCCATGGCCTCCAAAGGTCTCCAACCACCTATGCCACCCTATGCCACCCTCTAAAGTCTATGTCAAATGTGGCTTCATCACAATCAAATTGTTGATCTTGAGCCTTCTCAAGTCAAAGGTGTTGTTGACTGTGCGTGCTGTGGGTGGATGCAAATTGAGCGGCAACTGGAAACTGCCAGTGGTCGGGCTTCCTGAAGCACAAATGATTTGGTGCCAAGTTTCAGCCATGGCTGTTGCCTGCCTTGGCTCATGACAGGTGGTCGCAGAACAGGTAGTGACCGGTGATAACACGCCATAGCATGGAACCCCTGTTTGAGTCAAGGTTGCTGACTTCGCACTTGGACATATCTTTGGGCTTGTATGACCTCCAGGACACAGTCGAAGGCAGTCAAGTCCAACGGCTTCAAAACAAAACGTCATCGACAGTTGGAGCATCAACAGTTGGTCCAAGTCTTTCGGTATTCTTGGTCTCTCTCAGTGCCATCTATGTAACATGTCTTCACTCTTCTGGGGCTCATGTGATCGATTAGGCTCTCCAATCATGTCAAACAACTAATGTGCCACGCACTGGCCCAAAAGGCTCCTCAATGGAACTCTTAAAGTCACAACAAATGTCTCAGCTGCCGTGGCCTCAGTCTCGAACCTTGGCAAAATATGGAGGAAAACATTCCTATACAAAGAATTCAAAGAAGAATGACACCTCTCTCTCTACGAAAGAAGAACGGACCGTCTTTACCGGTGTCGGTTAAGAAACATGCATGTCGCCGGATCCCCTTTTTGTTCCCAATGAACATAGGAGAGCGGGGAGTGATGGTCATTCCTGGTGCTGCCGAGGTGCTCGACAATCCTGGAAAAGCAACAGGCAGTCGCTAAAAAAACTTATATAGCTATTAGTAGCAAGGTGCCATACTACTAGTAACAAGCAGCTACTAGTAACGAGGCGCATCGCTACTAGTAACAAACTCTTCGGCCGACGGCCGTGTAGAACAGTTGCCTCATCTTCTGCTGCGCTTGCACATTTCGGATCTTTTGCTCCGCCACCTAGCGCAATTCATGGCCCGTGGCCATCTACATTCTCTACCAGTAGGGACACTAAATGGATGGAAGCTTTAACTAGCAGTGGACGACAGTGAAGTAGTTAGCAGCCAGCTACTACAACTAAACTACACACAAGATTGGAAACAGGATTAAACTACTTCCAACTTCCCATTGCATTTTTACAAACAAATCAGGCCGGGCTGGTCACCGGACTCTGAGAGCGCCCATTTATTTGGCCTGAGTTTCCTTGATGGCAGACTCGAAATCTGTCGGCAGGCTCACAGCCTTCAATGCCAAAAGAAGGAAGAAAAGCCATACAAAATAATGCCAAGATATACCAGAAGAAAGCAGTCTTGCAAGCGGTAGTTAGGGCGGTCAGCATAATATAGATAGGCTGTCGCTACGTATGCCTGGAACTGGAATAAAGGCACGTCCACGAAGGCATTTTCTCGGAAATGTTGTCTTAAGGAATGCTCCTAAGCTGGAGCACTTTCAGGTGCTTTAGCACAGCTCATTTCCAAGATGTGCTTAAGCATTCTGGGCAAGATTCCATCATGTTGCCGATCATGGTGCCTTGGCTTGTCTTGCAAAAGAACTTCACACTCGACTTCGCATCTCTTGGCAACTTTCGTCGCTTCAAAACCATGATAGAGTATATTTTGACCAGCCCAGGCTCGGTTCACGAAGAACGCCCGTGCTATGTGATTTGTCGCTGCCACTGTCAGCAGGTCCATGCCCATCCTCAGCTGAGCTGCACTCAGTGGCACCCCCTCAACAAATGCAGAAAAAAGGCTGCTTTATGGAGCGCCAACATCGGAAAGTGACCCTCATTGGCTTATTAAACATAGACCATAGTAGGGCTGAGCACAGCTGAAGACCTGCCCTTTTGACTGGCTAAAGAATGGGTCGAAATCAAAGTGACTGCTAGCTGCTTGCTAGTGGCTTCACGAAAAGGTCATGATACCCAGGGCCTTAGGGAACAGCCCTCTCAAGCAAGTACCCAAGCAATCTATTCAACTAACTGTTATTGAACTAACTGTCAACCTGAGCATCGAGCCAAAGGTTGTGTACATCTGATACCTGAGCCCAGGGTGACTGCGAGCGGGCTTAGTCGCTGGGATTCATTTATACATGCATACTGCATCCTTGCATCAAGCACATGTGCAAAAGAAGTGGCAGCGAGTCTTTTGAGAGCTGATACTGAAACGAGATCCTTAGATAAATGAAACAACCCTGAGAAAAGAGTGTCTGAGTATGGGGGTAGGAATTCCTCTACCTTGTCGGGGGTGGTCATTTTATAGATCTGATTTGCGCCCCCCAGGGTTTTTCACTATCACTATAAAATCTAGACACCCAGAGCAGGAACCAAAGGCTTCAGAATATATCCTCATGTTTGCAATCTGGACCTGATAAGACATGCTCCAAGGGTGGTCCACTATAGAATCACCCACCCCAGCTAAAAATAACATAGAGCAGGTGCCTAATTCTATAATGAACTCCCAGGGTTCCCTGATAAAGCAGCAAACATAAACATGGATGATTATATAAACTGTTTCTCTCTCTCTCTCTATATATATATATACATATATATTAATATGTATATAATGGAGACCACTAAGAGCAATCATCAAATCCACTCCTCCAAAAAGATCATGGAGCCAGGGTGCATTTTCCCAAAAAGTGGCTTCTATAAACATATCCCTGACCCTGAGGTGGGTGGGGTCATTCTATATAACACCACTTTTTTTCCCTATAGAATGCCATCTATAAAATGGTCAACTTCAACCCCCGAGGCCATGGTTTATAGAGCTATGTCTGAGTTCATTTCAATTCAACACACATGTCAACTCTTTTCAGCCTTTGCCGTTTTTTGCAGCTTTTTTGCAATCAGGAAGCTCCAAGGAGACCTCCAGGCCATCGTAGGTCCGTGAGCGCAATGGGCCCCCAGAGGCTTCGGCGGCATCGTGCGAGAATTGCACAGTGATGACCGTCGAAGGAAACCTCAAGTGGGCACAAACGGGAAAGCTGGGACACGCCGAACCCAAACATGAGCGCGAGAAACACCAAAGGTATATAACTTTTGCATCTTTGGCGGCAACATCAATAACTTGAAATAAATGAGACACGTTCAACCTATCCAAGGCATTCCAAGACCAATAAAACCAAGAACATGATGCGTGAGTCTCTGTTCTATCCCCATGCAAGAGTTCGGCACTTTACGAAGCGGTGACCCAGGCCAAGCCAGTGTCTACCGGTACCCCACCTTGGAGGTTGCTGAAAAAAGCATTTACTTCAAGATCAAAGGGATAGTGTTAGTCTATCTGTGCATCCATTGTGTGCTTGTGTCATGTCTTGCCCTTCAGCTGAGAACCTTACGCTTCGGCAGAAATCGATTGAAGTATGGTGTTGTAATCTAAGCCGATCCTCGCTGGCAAGCAAACGGTTCGACATCATCGTTCTTTAGCACACACTCACAAGCCTCCTAAATGGTCCTAAATTCTTATTGTTACTAGTAGTGAGGCACTTGTTTCTAATAGCTTCTTGTTACTACCAGTAAGGCACCTGTTACTACTAGCGATGCACTTGTTCCTAGTAGCTTCCTACCCTGTAGAAATCTCTCTCGACCGTGTTGGCTCGCAGAAGCTCTGCGTTTTCGCGAAGAAAACCAGGGGACACACTGCCGACGCAATGGAAATCTCTTGGACACAAATATGCGTCAACGTCCAAGGCTCTCCCATGGCTCCAACGTGTCCCAGGCCTAGACCAAAGTGCAAGACTGAAACTTCATGAAACTTCACCGGTTGCAGCTGAGTTGCAGAATAAATCAGCACGGCACTCAAAAATACGCTCACTCCAAGGCACCTTAGAAGGGCACAATGTTCGCTGCTAGGGGCTCCTGGCATCGCTACTACGTAGGAGCAAGGACGCTACTAGGAGTTTTTTCTAAGGTGCCTTGGAGTGTGGAATCTTTGTGTATATGATATACTTTTCTAATAGCTTCTTGTTACTACTAGTAAGGCACCTGTTCCTAGTAGCGTGGCACTTGTTCCTAGTAGCTTATATATGTATAAATTCTCCAACTTCTCTCAGTTTGTCGCACAAGTATTGCTTGTGCCATCGCAATAGTAGGCGTTCCGGTGAAGTCTATATTCTGTCTTTCAATGTTGTGGCAAGTGCTCCAGCGTTGTATCTTGCAACTAGTTGCAGGCATTGATTGTAGGATGTTACATTGAAGAGCTACTCATGCTTAGGGAGCCTGGTTGCGTTGACTTGAACAAGCAAATGCACATGCCAAACACATTCCTCATCATTCCCCCATCCAAATAGTCAGTTGCGCTCCGTAATTAGGTCGCAGCTGTCTTTGCTTTCATAAGTCTTGCCAGCGTATGTTGTGGATGGTCTCTCCCACTCAGCTGCTCTGAGTGGACAGCTTGAGCCAACGTATTCACCGTTGGCAGCATCTGGATGAAGCATGTTCAAACATGTTGCAACCGTTGGTCACATCCACCCATCCACAGCTAACTCGGGTCCTTTTGTCAGTGAAACTGGCAGCTACTTAAGACTCGTGACTGCCTGGCAATGCAAACAGTGTCTGACATGGTTCGACAAAGGCACGTCGTAGAACCAAGACCAAGACATGGTAGGAGGCCTCTCAGCTGCAAAGAGGAAACCACCTGTCGCAATGTGTCTAAGTCGTTGGCATGCTGCTTCTATATCGAGTAGCTTCAATCTAAACGACGGGAATTCAAACCGCCTTCTTGTTCAAACGATCCACCGAGGACTCCACAATGGCAAGGTTCTGCCTCTCAATGCGTGCGCTCACGGTCCATGCCCCTGTACTTTTCTACTGACTGGAAACCTGCTTTATTTAATAATCTTCCTGCTGTTTCATCACTCAGGCTTGATGCCACATCATCGAAATGCGAAGATATGCGCAGAGTTTATACAATTGCAGTCAAAGACTGCACGCCACCCCATGACTCAGCTCACGTCCTCATCGAGAGCACCTGGGAGGCAAGGTCGCCGACCTGGAGCTGCAGAGCGAGGCGACCCAACTGCCCGACTGCAAACAATTGAGCCAACTATATCAACTATATATAGCTTGGGGCTTTCCCCACTGAGACGTCTGCCGTTTGATAAGACTTGTCCTCCAGCGGCAAGCACTTGAGGCAAGCCACTTTGCTGTCAAAGGTCTCCTGTTGAAAGAAAACGCACCCTCTCTGCATGCAAGCGGCTGTGTTAGTATTGTCATGTATTGTCTAGTGTTGCTGCGCCTCCTCCGCAAAGGAGCCAGCACCAAACATATGTACCTCTGCCCTCGCGTCGTTATCAGATTCTCTTGCCTTGGAGGTTGATCCGACACTGGTTAGAATGGCTAGATGATGTTGTTCAAAGTCCAAGTTGACTCGTACAAATCTCATGTCATTTTTCTTTTCAACCTATATACCTTCACTTCATATGGCTTTGCAATGGTTGACCGACCGTCACGAGCTTCTGAACTGCCCCAAGCTCGGGGCGCATCGGAAGCCCATGTCGTACTGGCCAAAACCTGCACACCCCACAATTGCGCAGCAGGCTACCAGACGCACCGCACACCACCTTAAATACTCCGCCTGACGACTCTTGAAATGAGCGGGAACAAAACAAGCATTAGCCGACCACAGTGGAACACGAGCACACCGCGCACACACACACACACACATTGGATGTCAAAATATGACAAGAACAAAGTTGCAAGCCAGTGCAGGTTTGATTGCACTGGGCCGATGCCTGTAATGGCTTTGCAGCTCGTCTTCATGATGCAGGTATTGGTCTTCTGGTCCTTGAAGGTTCGAACCTTACCGAAGTTGCGGCTTGTATTTTCCAGTTGCCATGCCGTTCTTCACATTTCTTCGTTATTCTCTGCCCCTGTAGGAGCTGTGCACACGCAGCCGGACCATAGGGTTGTACATCCTGGAAGGGTGTGTGGAGCGGAACACACTGGCATGGTGCTTTGCGCTGACCTGCTCGACCTTCTTTGTGAGACTGTCCTGGCCAAAATCAAGCAGTACAAACCTAGCGGACCTAGCGCTTTCAAACTACAGTATGTAAATTTTGCACCGTCTCGGGCATTTCGAGGCAACCCTGTGAAGCAACAATTGTCAAAAAGTTCAAAGTACGGCCATTAAGTGTCACTCCAGTACTTGGCCGAAACGCCAAACCTGCTTTCTGGATGAAACTTCCCGCACAACAACCTTGATGAAGCAAAAAAAACATGTCAGCTCAAATCCATCATCATTAAACATGCTGACACGCCATGCCGCCATGTGCAATTTCCATGGAAGCAAAAGCTCGCTCTCCCTGTAAGCTTGGAACGAAACTCGCTCTTTTGGTCGGAGCTGATTTAACATCCTCAGGTTCATAACGCACCATGACAGCCAAAAGCCGGAAGTCGGGACTATGATGGGCCGAAGGACTCCTGAAGGCAAAGCGAGGCATGTCAGACGTGGGGCTATGCGAAGGAAGGTTGCACCCGAATGAGTGTGAAGGTGAGTGAGCCACACGTCTCCCCTTCTCTGCGTCTATCTCTCTCTCTCTCTGTCTGACTACTGGGATAACAGACTAGAGGAAAATGCTATTAGCCTAGCTTGGTAGAAAAGTTGGGAAACCAGCGATCACTCATTGCCACCGTTTGTTTGCTTTTTGCACTAAATCTGCAGTTTTGTCACTGCTTTTCTATGTTTTGTCTAAATGGATTCTTTTATTGCCCTTTCTGTTTTGAGTTTTCTCTTTGAAGATTTATATAGTCACATTTGTATCTTCCGTATTCTCCACCCTCTGGGTCGGTCACCGCCTGCTTCAGTCTATAACCAAAAAGGTCTGCTGCGGTACCCAAAACTGAAAACCGATGACAATGACGAGCATTCTCAGCCTGCATGGCGCAGCTGCTACGGCTCTTGCTTGCAGAAACGGTTGGTTGCTTGGTTGCTGAAGCGCGGATGTTCAATGCTGAAACGCATAGATGCTCATGCATGGTTGCTGAAACGAACACTGGTCGCTCACGCGTAGTTGCTGAAACGGATACCAGTAGTTGCTGATATGCGTAGTTGCTGACTCGGCAAGTTTCTGAACGGTTGGTTGCTGAACCGGTCAATGACCCTCCGGGCAGTCTGCCCTAGAATCCTAGAACCAATGTATGTCCTTTGTCTTCCCTTTTCGTTTCGGTTTTATTTACAGTATGTCTCCCATTCCTGTTCTAAAGTCTGGATTCTCAATAATTCTTCCTTTTGCTCATTTATTTTGGCTCCTTCGACATCAGCATCTTCCTTTGGTGTCGTTTTCCAATACAAATATATAATATTATAATATAAATTATATAAGTGCTTGTTGTTGACACCATGCCTCCTAGCTACTACCTCCACCTTCTTACATCTTCTCACCCCTCTCCTAACGGCCTGACCGCCCCCTTAGTTTGCTTTATCTTCGGCTCCTCAAGTTGGGACCACTGAACTGTTACTCCCAAGCGATAGAGGCTTTCACCCGTCCAACTCGGGCGAGCGCAACAAACAAATGCATGAGGGCAACACCCGCGGCTGGCCTATGCAGGGGGGTATTCTCTATCCAAGTTTCTGCTGGCTCTTCATTCACTCCGTGAGCATCCTCATCATCAACATCCTTGCAACACGTTGAACAGAAGAGAGACTTGAGATAGCCGAACATCTGCTTTTGTGTCAAGTCGCAACGTCGTAACGCTTGCCAGTTTATTCCAAAAATCACACACACACACACAAACAACAATTGGAGATGTCTGTGAGTCACTCGGTCAAGCAAACTCTGCAGCAGTGAAGTCCATTGTCCACGGTTTCAGGTGTCACACTGCGCAGTCTGGCTCAGAATGACCCTCACATGATTGCGAATAGGTGTTTGATGGCGCTTGTCATTCACCAAGTCGAACACACAAACCGAACACGGGTGGCCGGATGTACCTGCGGTCCCCCAACAGCCATGTGGTGTGCAATTCCTTGGGAAAAAGGACATGCATATTCAGTATATAAAGAAGGATCTCCTCCAATTCATCGCTGTCGGTCTGGGCCAGCGCCGCCTTTGGAGCATGCATAGTTGCTCGTTGCTTGCTTTGCATCGTTGCAAAAACAGGTGCCCAACTCCAACAAAGTCAAATGCTTCCAAACACATTGCACCATGGCAACCGCCACAGTCATTATGAAATATAAGTCATTATATATATATACAGGAATCTGACAAAGTCATCCCTTGACACTGTTTCAATGCCAAATCACCATGGCAACGCTGTTTCCAAGAAGTCATCCCCCAGTCACCCCCAGGAGCCAACCCCAATGGAACGCTGATACCCAAACAAGACTTATCACCAAAAAAGTAAGCCCAAAGAGTGCGAAAACCAATGGAACGACTGGAACGCTGTAGAAATAGTTTGTTGATCAAAAAAGTATGTGGTCACTCAACACAGTGGACAGAACATGTGGTCCCCTGCTGAAAGATTGGATCTGCCTATCATATCATATCATATCATCCACCGGTGCTTTGCTGGTTTGCCAGCGGCAGAATGAACTGGGACGACCGATGCACACCTGAGCAAAAAAGACATCTTGATAGTTCCTTGCAGGCACACCGACCATCTGGGCACCCCCAAGGTGTTTTGAGAAGGATTCCCCATGAAACTCTGACCTTAACTATGGTTGGAGCATAGCTCTCTGGATGTAGGCAACTGGTGAACCTTCAACAGTGGTCCCTAGGATGACCCAAAAAGAACACATATCATATCATATCATATCATACACCGCACCTGTGCATCAACTGCAGGCGAACCTGAGTATATCAACAACCCAAAAACACCTGGGAGAAAATGTAACCCTTCCAGTCATGATTAATGCCTGCTAATGCTAACATCAAGCCCTTTATGGGTTGCCAACATACAACCTAAAAGTAGGTCCCTTTCCAACCAACAGAGTTAGCTTGTGTTTGGAGAAAAGAGATGACTTTCCGCAAAGCCTTCCCCCCAAGGCAGGGTAGCAATCACTCAAAAAAGTGACGACATTGTCGTTTGCCAGTATACACAGTATATCATTAAATTGCGTTACATGGCCAATCTTTGCTTTGCTCCATCCTACTCACTGCGTTACCACGCTTGCATCACATACACAAAAGCAACTCCAATATGTAACAATGCATGTCAACATAACTTGCCGTACTGCAGCGTGCTGCACGGCATAACTGAACTGACACAAATCACAAACCCGTGGCACTGCACAAGTATGCAACACAGGATGATGTCGCAACATCACACAGCACGCCGATGACACGCCTCTGCAGGGGTCACAGGCGCCAGCGCGGCCAACTCTTCGATGGACTTGAAATCAGCCGCCCCTCAGTCTGTTGAAGCAACTGTATATACGTATATATATATATATCAAACCCAAAGGGGACAGTGCTTCAGTGCCTCCGCTAGACATGTGTCATGCAAAAGGCCTCCGCAACTCGTGACATCTTTTCGCTGCCTCTCTCTCTCTCTCTGAGTCAACTCATCTGGTACTCACTCAGCTCCATGCCAGCACCAAGAAGCCTCACCAACTTTTAGGTACTCTGAGAGAGGAAATCTGGAGTTGTAGAGAATTGCACAAGTTGGATCTCTCTCAGTGAGCTGCAAGCATAGTGTCCCCAGCAGGCGCATGAGGACCTGAGTTGGAGCCCATGGTGTATGTATGTATAATGTATGTATATGTATATCTGTATGCAGTAACAGTATATCCACCCAGTATATAATTAGCCGGCTTGTCCACGGGAAACACTATGATAAAAGACTTCCTGGGATGAAATGGAGGAAGGCGGAACCCAGCTCCAGCACAAAGCCTCAAGCACACCTTGCAATCATAACAATTATATAAGTTTTAGGGTCGCTGAGGCTCTGAACCTGCCAAGAGCCAAGCATTCAACAGTATTCAACTGGCTGATGTTGTAGGCTTAGACCCCAAGTATGGTACTTTTTGAATTTTCAGCGATGCACCAAGAAATGCGATGCAAAGCGCAACTGGTTGTTTCTTACTTTGCGGTGGTGTTGCCTGTATCACACTTAGCGGCTTAGCGCCTCTGCTCTATTGCACCCATGCCATGCGTCTGTGGACCTAGGCCACGGCTGGCTTCATTGGGGGGGCGGTCAAGCTCACCCAAGCTCCAAATTGAGCCAAATCGCAAAACACATCCCAAATCTTGATGGCTGCAACATGTGGCAACTCCACTACATGCATGTCACTTTTTTGGCGCTCAAGCCAAGCCTGATCTCTTTGCACATCAACTGTGGTCAGGCTCCTTGGAAAGTCGGTACATGCCAAGCTGGCAAAGAAATATGTGTGTTCATGTTTCTTCTGTAAAATTGAGCATCCTAGACTGACTTGTGATTTATGCGGGTGGGCGTCACTGGGACAGCGGAGTTCTCCAGGCTAGGCTTGCGCAGCCTGCCATCCTGGATGCAAAGACTTCCAGCGCTGTGAGGTGTGGCTGCTTGTTTGAGAGGGTGTCTCTGAAAGGTTTTGAACAGGCGGGAGCGGAGGGGACGATGACTACTGCTTCTTGTGTTTTCTGCAGGGGCGGTGGCACACGACTACCCCTCTCTCCATCCTGTGGCATGAAAAGTGCGCTCTGACGATGGTTCATTAGGGTGAAACGCTTCGCCACGAGGACAGCAAAACGTGACGTGCAAACATGGAGAGAACAAATACAGCAGAGAAAGAGGCTGGTACAAGTGGCTGCGACACTCTGCGCACTGCGAGATGCATTGCAGGAGCCTGCGGGCCACCCGAACATGATGCGCGCGCACAACTCCAAACATTGCTCCAGTCCCTAGTTCCCAAGCCCTTGACCCCAATCGGTTCTTGACAACCCTTTCTCTGTAATATGCTTTAGTTATATAATATATATATATGTGTGTGTGTAAGGTTGCCCGTACTGCGCCTTTAAACAAAGTGAACTCCACAAAAAGATCAAAAAGCGCCGGGGGCGTGATGCCTCGTGAGAGCAACAACCGCCGAGCTGACCACAGCTGCTTGAACCGCACTCAATCCCGCTGGTGGACGTGTCCCCGAAGACTATTTTTAGTAAAGGGCTAGACTAGACTATTCTAGTTAAAGTATGTACTACTACGACCACCACCACCACCGTGACTACGACTACTACGACGACGACTACTACGACTACAACTGCTACGACTACTGCTACGACTACTGCTATTGCTATTGCTACTGCTACTGCTACTACTACTACTACTCCTCCTGCTGCTGCTCCTGCTGCTACTGTCATGATACTGCTGCTGCTACTGCTGCTGCTACTACTGCTACCGCTAGACTGCTTTATGAAGAGATGGGCGGCGGTCACGGCTACTTTTTCTTGAGGGCTTCGTGTCGTTTGAGGTCTGAAATGATAAAAAAACATATGAAACCCAGCCTCGAGCATGGCACCGTGTACTGGCACCAGCGTTTGTCTCATGTCGGCCACTGGAAGCAAATGCCTCGTTGATCAGTCTTGATGTGGACACTTCCCAAACATGTTCCGCCAATTCTTCTTTGGCCGCGCCTAATGCTCTTGTGAATAGGAACACGGATCACATTATCTTCAGGAACCTCAAACGGAAACCAATCAAATCAGCAGAATCAAGCATGTGAAGGCATGCCTTTTTGGCCTGCGCGCCCAATGTGCAAAATCTGAATTTCAGCCCAGAAACATCAGAGAGGACATACCTTGAACAACATGGCTCATTTACATAGTATAGCTCAAACAACTGAAATTGAGCGTGTAGCGAGGCGATGCAAGCTTACTGCATAGAACAACCCCCCGTAAAGGTGTATGACGGGGCCTTACCTGGTTTCTTGCTTTATATCTTTATCTGTTGTGTTCCAAGCACTCCAATCTACTCTATGATGTTCCAAGGCACGGTCCGAAAGCATATCGCCGAACTGTTTGTATTCGCATGCGGTGGGCATCCAGCAGCCTTGGAACCGTCTACACCTCTTCCCACAATTCTCGCCCTACCCCGAGCAATAAACGGTAACTATTAAGAAACATGTTGTGCCATAGGATGAAGCCATTTGATTGTCGTTTTGCCTGAACACATTCACGGAAAGTCGCATGTCGATTGGCCGATCTGGCGACTCCACATATCTCACTCGCATTCTGTAAGTTGCCCCCCGTTCGCTTTTGCACAGTGCAAAACACCTTAGATGGGCTTGAGTTATAATGAGTTATATAGATGAAGTCTGTCTGATCAAGTGCAATTTCGTGTCAGGTTGTCATGCCGTGGCGACGAAGAAGGAAATTAATATGCAACATCTAAACTTCACAGAATTTCCGAACTTTCGCTGAAGAGGTTCTCTGCCATAGTTCACGCCCGCCGCTCTAGCCCCAGTCCGCCATTTGTGTAGCACTTCCACTGGTGGGTCACCTGGAGGCGGGAAGTGGGAGTTGGGGAGGGATGTAGACAAATCGGATTTGCCTTGAATTTTGCAGTCGAACGCGCTGAGAATATTGGATTCGGCACCTGGTTGCACGTCAAAAAGCCTTACACACTGTCACAGTTTTAGCGTTACAAACGAACACGTTGACACATACTGACACAAGAGAATCCGTTGTCCTTAGGCTCACACTTGCAAGCGTCTCTGCAAATATACCATCATTTGTCAAGAGCACCAAGCCATCAAAGGCATATGCCAATCCAGTGACCTCAGCCCAGCTGCAGCTTTTACTTTTCTCTTTGGTCTCCCCCTTTCATCCCCTTTATATTCCCCCTCCCTCTCTTTTGCATCATCCTCAGCTAAGACATGGTCAATGACCCAATGCCGATCTTTGAGGCTCTCTTCTTCCAAACCGACTGCGAGGGCTTGACCCGCCCGATTGATCTCCTGAATTCATCCCCCAGCCGTTCAATACCAACATAAGTTGCAAACATCAAGTCCTTCTCGTACCACCTTCGCATTTTCGCACGAATTGTTCTGGCATCTTCACGTTCCAAGTTCTCACAAAGGACCTTCCTGGCAGCTGGGTGTTGTAACATCAAACTTCAAGAACGACACGAAAGAAAGGCACCTGGGTTTGAACATTGCCCACAGCTTGGGCTCGGGTTCAGGTGGTGGGACATTCACACCATCCTCAGAGCTGTGCTCGGTTGGTGCGCGCTCTTTCGAGAGAAAGCGACACACTCATAACGCAGCACAAGCATCCAAAGTTACGTGTGCCTCCTGAAAGACTTTGAAGTTGCTTGAAGCTAGCTGTCCATCTACTTTGACCCGGCCTAAGTTAAACGGTGCCTCTCTGGCTTTGTTCTGACTTCAGGTCGCTGGGCTTTAGTCAATGATTAAGACTGAGCCAAGCCGAAGACCTTGCGAGATTGCCTGAACTGCTTGGTGATTCGAGAGGAGCCCTGCAAGGCTAATTCGCCTTGACAACCTCTCAAAGCGAGTCACTAGCCTGAGGTAAACAAGGCTTCTCATGGAAATGAACATCAAGGGCATCAAAACCAACACCCAAAGAGAGTCGTCAATCAAACGATGCCGCAATGAAACTTCGACATTCTGAACTAATCAAGCTGCATTTGCATCTGCTTCATGCCGCCAGACATGGGCACGACGCAAAGGCAAAGAAAGCGGCATTACAACATATTCCAACCCATCCCTGCTGTGCTGTGCTTGTCCCTCCAACGATGTGCTGGTAGCATCTGGTAGCGGGAATTGAATATGCATCGAACATCCCGAAGTATGTGCGCCAAAAACTGCCACATAGATACTGCCACGTGTCACATTTTGCAACATAACATCAAAAAACATGCCGCAGGACTGCCAAAAGTGGCTCTTGTAGCTTCTGAGCAAGCCCAACAGAAATCCTACACTACCATGCGACACAGTATGTCACAGTGCTAGTCACTCTGCTAGTCTTGCACGGCGCCTGATTTTTTGCACTATGCACTTCCGTCGATGTGGGAAGATGTGATCCACCCTACGGCAAGCAAGTAGTGTGAAGGGCAAGGGGCTCTGGGCTCAAACACCTGGAGGTGCTCGTACATGTGGCAGCGCTTAGCATCGCACTCACTTCAGGCCTGCAATGGCTTTCATGTTGCTGGCCTGGAGGGGCAAGAAGAATTAACACTAATTAACCCCAACACGCCCAAGAATCTCAACACATCGGCCGCGCCAAAAACACACAAACTTGCAATCTCACAAACCTTCAGCTTCCGCTATTCCAGTAGCAGTTTGCCGACACTAAGCCCTCAAGGAACAAACATTTTGGCGTTGAACACCTTTGTATGAGGGCAAATTCTTGTAATTCTTCATTCGGCTTTAGTTTAAAGCACGATCTGCCTCCTCCTGTACTCCAAAGATCTCATCAGAAGTCACTCTCTGGTAATCACCCAGCACTATTGTCCATCGTCACTGTGTGTCACTATCTAAGCACTGGCAAAATTAAAACAATCGGTCAGTAAGCAAGCATGCACGGCAAGCATTGCTGCTTGTGCCCATAAAGTTGTCATTGTGAGTCATTGTGGTATTATCCCAACGCCCAAGGCACCTCGTAGCTCATTCGCCAGGCTTTCATTTCAGCATCCAAAGTTCGGCCGTTGGAGACCTCGATTTCTTCGCTGCCCTGCCTCGGGAAAATCGTACGGTCACGTAGCACCTTCAAACCCAATGATTCATTAAAGTTCATATTTTATGTGTATCATTCAGTCAGGTACTTAAACAAGTGTATATATAAATGTATTATTAATATATAGATTATGTGTGTGTGCATGCATGCATGTACGTCTATGTATGTGTATGTGTATGTGTGTGTATGTGTGTATGTATGTCTGTCTGCCTGCCTGCCTGCCTGCCTGCCTGGCTCAAGCATTTGAAGCCATGCTACTGCATCCAAAGGCCATATCGTTGACAGCCGTGTCTGTGCGCCAGCAGCCTTATACAAAATGGCCACAAAGATTGTCAATGTGCAAGTCTGTGACCCTGTCTGCAGCATAGCCACTCCTCCATAGAGTCAGCAGCAGCGATACTCTCTTCACATCGGGAGATATCGTGGCCCATTTTGGCCAATGCTGCTTCAACGTCACCTTTTCGATGGGCCTCGTAGTAGACCTCAGGCACTACATTTCTGTGGTCGAACAAGACTACTTGTAAGGCACTTGTTTCTACTAGCTTCTTGTTACTACTAGTAAGGCACTTGTTTCTACTAGCTTCTTGTTACTACTTGTCTCACTTCATCCATTTCGATGTGCTGAGCAGCATGGAGAATCCATCGCTTTGGCACTACATGGCCAAGTGTCAAGGTATTGCCACGAGGGACTAAAACCTGGAGAAGTGCCAAGTCGGTTGGATTCTTTTGAGAAGGATTGGAGTCCGTTGGAGTCTTTTTGCCTGCGTGCTTTGGAAGACCAAAAACGGGCTGACTGAGCAATGAATAACCACCATCACGCTAGAGTATGTACGGTGCCGGGCCTGGTTTGGTGCTTTGCTAGGCACACAGCGTAAGGAGAAGCCAGCTGCCTTCATGGCGGCAGTGTCCTTGGATACAAATCCGACCACCACACTTAAAAGACTTGAGGCCAAGGGGGGGCGAAAGCTAGCGCTCCAGAATGGGAAAGTGGAGGGCAGCGATGTAGGAAAAAACACGGCGCTCTTTTTGGAGGCAGTCGCACAGACTAGCAGAAGGCAGGACGCCTTGCACAAGTTGGGCGGGGCAAACGATTCCAGGTGAAGAGTCCTTTATATGTGGCTCTTTGCCCGGATCCTCCTGCGAGAGAAGAGAGGGAAGAGAGACGGAAAGACGAGAGACAGAGAGGAGAGAGAGAGAGAGAGAGGAGAGAGAGATGAGAGAGAGATGAGAAAGAGATGAGGGAGAGATGAGAGAGATGAGAGAGAGATGAGAGAGAGATGAGAGAGATGAGAGAGAGAGAGAGAGAGACAGGGAGAGTGAGAGTGAGAGTGAGAGTGAGAGTGAAAGTGAGAGTGAGAGTGAAAGTGAGCGAGTGCGGCCGCAAGATACGCAACGCTAACCGCATGCCAAAGAGCGACGACAGGACGGAGTCGAACTTGCGAAGAGGGAGGAGGGAGGGAGGGAGGAAGACAAGGAGGAGGAGAAGGGGAGGTGGGGAGAGGGGAGGTGGGGGGGGGGGGCTTCGACCTGAAAAATCAGGGGTTAGGATTTGCACCCGATCGAAAGAAACCTTGCTATCGCAAGAGTAACTCCAGCTAGCTTCGCTCCCTTTCGTGAAAAACACCGTGAATACTAAATGTAGGACGTGACTGTGTGCATCCAAAAATAAAACACCAGACACATATGTGTATATATATATATATATCCCGCCGGGTTCACTTGAGACAGTGAGCATGTTCTCACTCGCCCGCTTCAGGCAGTGAGAGTTCCTGCCCATGGTGTGTGGAGCTTTTGTCTATACTCATTCACATCTGCATGTCGGAAGCCAACACTGGCACACATAGCACTACAACAACCCATCGTGCAGTGATTGGCTTCGGCACCCCACCGCTTTACACCAGCCCGCATTTGATCCACAAGGCCAAAATGTTTGAACGTCTTGTTACTTGTTAAAGGTATTACGGCATTGCAACACCCAAATGGGATTTTAGGATACATGTCCGTGCTAGACAGCACGAACGCAAGCATCTTGCCCAACCACCCACCTGAACCCCCCCTTGAGGTACACATCTAAATGCGCGACGAACCCTCGGAAAAATAGGATGGTTCTGATGTCGAAATTCCACTCTAATCTATGTACAGTAAAGATGACAAACAACTTGAGCAGTAACAGGGCACTGTTCAGCGCACTGTTGTCGCGCAAAACTTTCAAAAGTAACATCGCAAAAGCACGCAACAATTCAATATAGGAAACGTAGGAAATATATGGACATGTGACATGACGCATTTCGTACCACTGTCTTATATAAGTACCTCGGGCAAATGGAAAAGGCTCGACATGCTTGACATTGTTCTGCCAAGAGTCACACAAGGTCTGAAACAGGTCGTCTGTATGCTTCAGCTTCAGCTCACGCTTCACCAAAGGCACAGCCTTGAAGTCTACCAAGAGATCCTCATTGAGAAGCAAGTCAGCATTGCCTGCTAGGTGTCCTCGACCAATCCATTGCTCATCTGGCCTGCATTTCTATTGCATGTCACATCTTCGAAACTGTTCTCCATGTGCATGTTGATCTTTATTGCATTGTATCGATTTGTAATTGTCTGTAAACATCTGTGTATGTGTATATATAAATGTTCGGACTAAACGGGGCCGTCCCATCACTGCCTGCTCTTCCCAGTTGGCTTCGACGTGGTCAATGCGCTACTCGGCGGAACACCCAGTGGACGGGTGAGCTCCCTCTCTGCAGCTGGCGTCTCGATGGGGAAAAGCCAGTCCTCAAGAGGCCGCTGAGGGGCCGGCAACTCGGCAAGAGGGAAACAGGAAAAAGGCATTTAAAAACACTAAACAAATGTAAGCACATCTTTTGTGAAAACAAACAAACCGAAAGCGGCAGCCACAGTTGAATAAAAACTTAGTAAACGAATGTAAAAAAAACAGTAAAGTGAATTCACAGTAACTCTTTAGGAGTAAGTTCTTTTCCATGGAAGCGACTGCATATTATCCAAGAGCGATGGCCTCCAACCTAAGAGCGATGGCCTCCAACCTAAGAGCGATGGCCTCCAACCTAAATGCGGTGGCCTCCAACCTAAGAGCGATGGCCTCC